ACCGCGTCATACCAAAACACGTTAAAATATGGTACTTGTTGGTCCCTGCCTGGCGCTCGGCGTTAATGGGTACAACAAGGACTGGTCGGCTCGGAGTCAGTATAATGTGTCTGAGTGGGGTATTCATCCTTCACTGCGGCATGGTACCTCAGTGGGCTAGCACTATAAAACCAGCTTACGTCTGGGCTAGTACACGCAGCCGCACATACACATACACACGCATGCACGTCGTCATATGAACGAAATATTCTCAAGCACGACGTAAAACCCAATTTCACCTCACCTCACCTAGTAACGTGTAATGTTCAGCCATAAAAAACAGTGACAGTAATGCGTGAAACAGTCATGATAAATTCGGATATGTATGTGTAAAATTAGCGATAAAGAACAGTGACAGAAATGTGTAACAACAATAGTAACATAGAATAGAGTCAGTAACCTGTAAAGGTTACAGTAATATGTTATGCTCATTATACCAATGAAGATCCAGGTTAGAATTCATCCTCTTGCTTGTCGTAAGATGCTCCGAACGGGATCTCGGTGCCGTTGTACGAAACAACCTTTGGCTGTCGTAAGGTATGGGAGTTACGATCACCTTAGCGCTAAGGTTGTCGTAAGTATATTGTAAGGTATGGCAGTTACGATCACCTTAGCGCTGCGGTTGCTGTAAATTATATTGTAAGATATGGAGTTACGGTCACCTTAGCGCTAAGGCTGTCGTAAGTATAATTTTAGGTATGGGAGTTACGATCACCTTAGCGCTAAGGCTGTTTTGAACAACGGCACGCTGTTGGTCAGGCGCGGTTGACAAGTCATCGTATCCGTGTTGCGTAGACCGATGCTAATCTTACTTATCACTGGATTGTCTGGTCCAGACTCGACAATTTACGGTATGTTTACACCGAAACGCGACCTGACTGCGACCAACGATCGCACTGGTCGCGTACCTTCGAGACCGATCGCCTCTTCCTGTTTAAAACCGAATAGGGTGCGCGATTTGAATACGACCAAAATCTTTAAAATTTTCATTTTATGGCGACTTGGTTGAGACTGGTGCGATCGGTCTTACGTACCGCAACTAGGTCGCAATGCGCTGGTCATGTAGCCCTGGTGTGACTTTCCGGCGACCTAAGATGGCAAGTGCCTCATGCGATAGGGACTAGTGGTGGTCCGATTAATTGAAATAATCGAAGATTGGTCGCAGTGACTAAACGATAAGCAATCGATCATGATTACTCATAATCGAACACAAACAATTCTGGAAACACTTGTTAGCATTAACAATATTTTTTACAAGGTTGGTTTTGTCTGTTACATTTCATGACCACTACAGAAGAAGCTCGTTCCAAGTCATGGTTGAATTTATTTTCAAGACTCCAAAGAAATTAATGTTCCTAACCTACTAGTCATCCGTTAAAGATGTGAAATTTGCCAATACCTTTGCAAAAACACCAAAGAACTACAGTTTTTTTTCTTTATTTGTTTTGTCCATTAAGAAAAATAATCAGGAAAATTTCATAAATGACGCTAACCAATTATTTTCGATGATTGATCGGTTGTAATGAACCAATCATCAATTATGAGATTTTGACCAATTCCCAGCACTAATAGGGACCCTGGATGTAAAGCATATCAGAATACAAGCGGCTACTGGTGTGTCAACAAGAGCTGCTACTCCCTGACGCTTGTGGACTACAACTACAAGTTCCTGTGGGTGGAAACTGAAGGTAGTGGACACCAATCAGACGCCCAGATTTAATGCTTCGGATCTAAAAGACCGCTTGGAGACTGGCGCACTTGCTCTCCCCAGTCCTGACGCTGACTCAGATGGTCTACCAAGGAACCTGCCATACTTCATACTGGCCAATGATGCCTTTGCCTTAAGAACATTTATCATGGTCAAAGCCATGGTCTAAGAGGAACATGACCAAGGAGGTGTTGATGAAAAACTGGACGCGATCAAAGGAACTGACCTGCGAGCTACCTGCGAGTTTATAAAGACTTGTGCGATGATACTGCGACAGATTTCGCGACCTCACTACGAGTTGGGCCGATCGTAGAAGTTGTACGAGCGTGGAGAACCATTCACTATACAGGCCAAACCTAAGGCGACCGGTGGCGAACGATGGCGGTCTTTGGCCATGCTTTGGGCAATGATAGAGACCTCACTGAGACCGCAGCGCTACGACTTTATGCGAGAGAGTGCGATCGAGGGCTATTTTTCGGTCGCTGATCGGTCGCACACCCGGTGTAAACATAGTATTACAAACCGATGTCAAGTACAGAATTATTTCTGAATATGGCGTTAAACGTAATGTGTAACGGACATAATAACGAAGGACACTCGCAATGTACTGTCATTATTAACAGCGCAATGGTTGGTAAGTTTATGTCTGTTTTATTTCAGTCACTATCGGCTGATGCAGGAGTGTTGGTCTGGTCCCCGAGCAAACGTCCGCCTTCCAGCAGCACCATCGTGGGCAGCCTGGAGTCCTCTTTCGGTCTGCGACCGGACGGCGACGATCAAAACTATTACTATCAGCAATGAAGCTGAAAGGCCGGTACCCTGTGGTACTCGTGGTACACGTTGTGTTACCAGGCAATCTGTCATGATCTGTGTCACACACACATTTGGAACAGCAATTTTACGCTGATGAGATTGTATGTCGCTCAACTTCTTACTGACATTATCTTAACATTGTGTTAATTCCTGTTTGCGATTCATATTATTAGCTTTCTGTGTCTCCTACTGGAATTGTTCGAAAAATAGAATACGTACACACTCAGATATTGGACTAACATGGCGTGGGACAATATTATTCCCTTCTTGCCACCGTTAAAGCGTATCATGCGTCACATGTTGGGAAGAAAAGGCTCTGCAACATGAGTCAGTGAGTGTGTTTTACGCCGCTTTTAGCAATATTCCAGTAATATCTCGGCGTGGGACAGCAGAAATGGGCTTCACAGCTACAATATGAGAGCGATAATCCATCTGAGAGTCTGTTAAGTACGTGTCATCATATCGAAAATCAGTTGACTGTGGTTTGTTAACTTTTTATTATATTTTCCGCTTAATTTCGTATATGTTTTGCGTTAATTAAAATGAGATCTTAATTCTTACTTTTATAGTTTTATACCTAGAACTGTTTTCACAATTTTACTTTTGATTGATATTGATATATAAGTATAATATCAATACATTTCCTTTTTCTATTGATAAAGAATGTATTTGCAACCTGCGACATAGTCGAATTAGTGTTTTATTGCGGGAGCTCTGTTTTCAAGGGTAAACTATTGTGGTAATTTGGGGAGAGACCTCACTGGTCAAAGTAAACTATTGTTATTTATTATATTTTTTATATTTTTTTTGTTCTTTGGGGGTAGGGGGAGACCTCACTGGTCACGGTAAATTAATTTTGCACTTTGGGGGAGACGTCATGGGTTAAGGTAAATTAGTTTTGTCATTTGAGAACCTTACTGGCCAAAGATAATCTTGTGTTCTACTGTGGGATCTCGATGACCAAGGGTAGCGTTGTGTATCTTGGTGGATATCTCACTGACCAAGAGTAAATTAGTAATTTTGGGATCTCACTGGTCAAGGGTAAGTTTGTATTTTGATATAGGGTCATACTGGTCAAGTTCTTATTTCATTGGGGGGACTTTGAATTAATGGATTATGTGTTGTTGTTTATTTTCTCAATAAAATGCACCCTACACCATTCACTCATTTTCTTGTATGTTTTGTGTTGAGTTTGATCAACGCGCTTGGAGTTGCAGTGGTTGTCAATGCTCTTTTGTTGTCGTGGTTGAATAGTATATCATTGATAAATATCGGAGATGAGTAACACAGCGAAAATATTTGAACGTTTAAAGTCTCTTTATGAATGCTTTTATAACCGACGATCTGGGTGAGAATTCGTCTTCAGGAACCCCTGCTTGTCGTAAGAGGCGACTATCGGGATCGGGTGGTCAAGCTCGCTCACTTGGTTGACGCATGTCAGACCGCCGTAATAATGGGCAATTGCTAAGTGCTGCGTTCTACAACAAACCACTTTTATAAACATGTTTTACGCTCTACTGGTGTTGGCACTGGTTCATACGGTACATAGCACTGGTGTAGGCACTGACGTATATGGTACATGGCACTGGTGTAGGCACTGGCTCATATGGGACATAGCACTCGTGTCACCAACTCGTGTCACCAACTCACTTAAATCCTATTGAGCCTTAAACCAAGCCGGAATGTACCTTGTTATCAAAGGGAAATAACTCCATACGCTATATTCGTAAATCCAGCTACGTATATATGTCCTTTAGATAGCCAGTATGTTATCAACATGCGGTAAACTATTATTATTTCGACACGCTTATAACGAAATGACAGATATAACTGTTTGTTTGGTCCATGTCACTTGTACATTTTAGTCGAAATGAACATATGGAAATACGGTTATAATGAACTGAAATATGTTTTCCCTTTGAGTTCGTTTAAACAGTTGTAACTGTATGCATCAAGGTATACCGTGGCGTTGTTGTCAACTGGTAACGTTCTTAATGAGAAACCTATTCAGAAAATTTTGTTTCCAGTTACATCGCTGTGTCTTTTATCTGGCTGAGTGGGTTAGACGGCTGACTTTGCATGCTGGCGATTAAAAGCCTGACTCTCAATATCGGGGTTCGAATCTCGGATGGGACTCAACCAAACAAAAGTACTAGAATCTGTACTTAAAGGAAAAATTGAAATCCCAAATGTAGCATTTGTTACTTTTGACCACGTACTAAATGGAATTGTGTATTCATCTCTTCTCAGAGTCCAGTCGAATGGTCATCTTGCTTGGTCGTTGTGACATCACCACACAGTCAGTATATTCGATATGGATTCGGGTACACCGGCAGTCCAGCACCTGAACTGCTCCTAAACAAATGTGTATAGGCGTAAACGTGATATACGTGACGATAATTCGTCACCATACAAATACAGTGAACGCTTGACACCTCTGTCAGAATTGATTTCATTTATTTACGCACAATTGTAACAAATAATGTAAACCTGAAAAGGGTTTCAAGAGGCACTATTAAGTATGTTACAACATCGTATGGATCACAACATGCGATATACATGATATATCGTATAACGGAGGAAAACAGGTTATATACAACATGGTGAGCGATGCAGAGGGCGGAGTAATGTCTAATTTACCAATAATAAATGCTTATTCAAACTGTCAGTGTAATCCACAACGTGACTATCAAAACCAACGTTACATACGGTTTAGCTGAAACCTTTATAGACCACAGTGAGTGAGTTAGTTTTATCAATATTCCAGCAATATCACGGCGGTGGACATTGTTATGGATCAGAAATTTAAAATCAAGTTGTTGACATCCTGTAGTATTCGCATCTTGCAAAATACTTGCAAACCGCAGAATATTAACCGTCTCCGAGATTATCGTCGAGTTCAAGGGCATCTTCTGTCGACTGTTCTGTGTCTTCCATGATTCTATATTGAACAGACTTTTACGCCCCAATTTCTAAAATGCCACTCAAACAAGTTATCCATGATTCTGTCAATGTTACTTATGCCGTTGACAACAATAGCAAAAGAAACTTCGTAATTTCGCTTGCTTACGTTGCTATACAGCACTTCATCCCGAGGTTTTGATTGGTTGATATAATCGTAGGATGCAAATGTGTTGAAATGAGTATTAGAAACGAACACATTTTGATATACATCGAGACACAATTATTATTATCATTATTAACATAACCCGTATTTGCTACATTCTCAAGCACATGAAAATTAGAAGTATGTTATGTGCAGCCGTTTGTAATTGCTACTGTCTATATCCAATCATCACTAGAACCCCCTTTCTGGGCGACAGAAATCGCCAACAGCAAATGGTTGTCGTTGTAGAGCATCACGATACTTGCGATTAATATTTGATGGAAATTCCTCCCGATAGGCAATAAGCTGCCCACTAGAATAGATTACTGCTGTCGTTGTCCGGGGTCATCCCTGCGGGTAGATATGCTGGCTGCATAGGTCCTGCTGGGGGTGGTTGCTTGCCCTGTGTCTGCCCTGGGAGGGAGGAGTATGGTGGTGGAGGTCCCGGGGGTGCGGAGACATACGGCCCGGGGGGTACAGAAACATATGATCCAGGGTAGGTTGGTGTATGGATGTATTGCTGAGTTGTCACTGTAATGTGAGAATGTTGGATGAAAATCTGTCAGCGTATGTATCTTTCAAAGTCCGCGGGTTAAATTGTGCACTAACTTCGAAAAATTAATTTATTAAAAAAACACTTTTCGCAATAGTAAGAAAATGGACGATTCCAACAATAGCATCTTCACGTTGGTCACGGAGTCCTAGGAGTGAGTGGGTATGGTTTAACGCCGCTGTTAACAATATTCCAGCAACATCACGGCGGGGGGACACCAGATATGGGATTCACACATTGTACCCATGTGGGGAATCGAACCCGGGTCTTCGGCGTGACGAGAGAAGGCTTTAACCACTTGGCTACCCCACCGCCCCCACACGGAGTCCTAGGATGGTTGACCGTTTGCCTCCTGGGCATTTCTCGGACTTCCGTCATGCCTTACAAAGAAGCACACATGCCACATGTGATTTCACCTTAGGGAAACGAGTTTGCCTCTGATCACCCAGCCGTGAATGGGTACCCGGTGGGATGACTGTAAATCTCCTAGCGCCTCACAGGCAGCTTAGGTTATCCGCCATAATAATGTGTTAGCGGCTCGAGCCTGCATAAGTACGTGGGAACACATTTAGAATACAGCCCCACAACTTCTCGTGAGGACGAGCTCTGCCGTAGGTCACGTGTCATTAAGACAAGCAACCAGTTTGTGAGAACCCATCGGACACGAACCCGTGACCTTCGGATTGTTAGCTCGACAGCTAGCCGACTGAGCTACGTCCACACTATTGCACAATGGGCAAATTTATCGAGTCATTCCTGTGACGTCACGGAATGAACGGAGAGAGTCGAATAGGTCACGGACAATTACGAAGGTTACGGGTAGACTTGGTGTCTCGTGATTTTAATCTACGGACAATTGCCGAATGGACCCGATGCCATTTGGCGCACTCGTCCTATTCCGTAATCTACAAATTAACGTGTGGCGTGGAATGAGCCGATATGCCTCAAACTGAAAAGGGTTGTTGACGTTAGGCGTCAGACGTAGATTTCACGGTGCATGAATGAATGACGCGCTTTTATATAAATCGGTGATTTTGTGACAGAAAAGTGATGTAGGGAACACTGTAAGAATAATGTGGATCGCACTAAGGAACGAGGGAGACATGAGCATGTGTCGTGACGGCACGAGGGTGAGTTAGCCTTCGAATCATTACTGAACCAATGTTGCGTGTGAAAGAGGCTTGAGTGCAAATTCCAGGCCAATTTCCATTAGCCCAAAATGTCTACATTCAACCTTTTCATAGTATACTTTCGTCATGTTTGTTTTCCCGTTTTTGTGTGAAAAAATGTATTAAAATGCAACAAATGGTACTCACGTATTACACCGGACATGTACCTACTCTACCCTAAACCCTCAGCCCTAAGCCCTAACCCTAACCCTTACCCTAACCCCTTGAAATAATCCTAATAAATAGAATGCATTGACCGAACCGGCACAAACATATGACTGACGTGTCCAGTGTAATGCATTATTACCGCTTCGAAAAATAAAATACTCATAAAAACAATGTCCATGTAATGGTTCAAATTACTGAATGAAAAAAATATATATGTATGTCAGTTCACATTGGTAAATCATTTAGACTTAATAGTTACTTAGAAACCGAAATATAAAATATATTTACATAATATAAATAATTACATTGCCTAAAATTGCGAATAATCGAATATATATAATATAGACCGGTGTAACGCATTCTCGCTAAATTTAAAAAATATAAAATACAATAATACACAAAACATAACACCTCGGCACCCCTTAATACAAATAAATATGAGCGTATTAGTGAAAAAAGAAAAATATTTCAAACTGGTGCTTGCAAAAAATTGCGCATCCGCCGGTATACAAACTACTGGAAACTCTCAACATCGTTGGGCTTATGCAATAACATAGCTAGTAGAGATGAAACACCAGTGAGCGGAACTTATACGCACTCGCGGAGCTAGACAACCGTGTTGCCATGCAGGCGTCATAGGGCATTGTTTCGAGAACGTGCTTTCGAACAAAATCACATTACATTACGTAAAAGGGTATTATGATGTATTTTTAAAGTTTGTGGTGCTGTATTCTAAAGGTAGGCCAATACGTGAATACAGGCGCTTTATAAATGGCTATTACTATGCGGTTAACGTTTTCACCACTAGGCGACCACACCGTCCCTGACATAGTTGAAAAAATATAACCTTCTTATAGATCACGTTGTACCCACGAAGGGGTTCGAACCCTTGACTTCGGGTCAAGGACGAAGCTTTTAGGAACGCATCATTTCTCCAACAGATTTAACCCACTTACCTGTATGCATATGGACAGCGCCCGGTCCTATAGCAGCAGGGTGGACTCTCAACACCCGACCGTAGTAACGTTTCTTATACCATGTGATTGACGCCAGCAGCAGGAAGAAGGCAAGAGCCAGTATCCCAACCCTGGAACAAACAAGAGAAAATCATCAAACACATAGCCAGTCTACGTAGTTACCCGTGAAGATCCGGGTTAGAATTGGTCTTCAGAAACTCCATGCTTGCCGTAAGAGGCGACTGACGGGATAGGGTGGTCAGGCTCGCTGACTTGGCTGACACTTGTCATTGCATCCCAACTGCATAGATCGATACTCATGATGTCGATCACTGGATTGACTGATTCAGATTCGATTATTTACAGACCGTTGTCACACAGCTGTAGTATTGCTGAGTACGGCTTTAAACAACAAACAAACAAACAGTCTACGTACTTTAGTACAGAGTCATGTCTCTTACAGTCAAGTCTAATACTGCACTGTTATGTTGAAATGTATACACCGATATTAAATTCAGGCCAATATCAGAGCTCTTTATTACACGTTTATTACCGGTTCACATAATATAATGCATGCGATTCACAGGACAGAAAAAATGTTTCATACATTTTGACCTTGTGGGGATTCAAACCCTGGTCTAGCGTGATGCTTTAACCACTAGGCTACCCCGCCGGCTTTTTTTCAACAACCATCATAAGGGATAACTATTTAAATACGGATCTTTTAATATATCAGGTAACTATATTTTAAAAAGAAACAGATTTGTTAAATGATTTAGATCAATAATTTATGATTGGAAGTTTAAATTAGTAACTCAGATTGTTAGTGGCTGTATCCTCAAAGGTGGTTAAAGTACTGTAAAATTATTGTCCTCCTGAGAGGGTACGTAAGTCCCAAAACATTCAAGGTAAATTAAAGCTCTCCACCTTTTTAATTGTAGAATATGTGTATATTATATATGTAGCTAGACTTGTCTAAATTGCTAACAGCTGAAGGGATGGTGTAAATCCAGCTAGGGTCCATGCAGGAAGCAAATGTACTGTAAGTCCCCGTGGTGCCTAGTATGGTGATCTACCTTCAGTTGTTGGCAATTTATAGCCTGATTTTATATTGTATTGTCATCTATAGTTTTATCTAAATGTTTTAGATTTAACTACTAGTTTTAAATTCATATCTCTGATAATCTAGTTATTTTACTGTCATTTGCTGACAGGTTTATACTTTACCATTAATTACTATGTATAATCATTAATTGTTCTCGTCTAGATATGGCTGAAATATTGCCGATGTGTCGATAAATATGAACCCACTCACTGTTCCACAAAGTATTGAAGCCATGAAGATATTCACTGGATTCCATGTGTTCTTCACTTCACTTAATTCTTTTTCTTCTGTTTTCGCCATACCATTCTCTCCATCTCCATTTACCCATCAAACACCTTTTTGCCGCTAATTCGCCCACCAACCTCTGAACTTCCTTTCCACCTTCGTCTTAATCTCCCGCTATAGACTCTAATCAACCATCCGACGCAAGTCTCTCTTCTCTCTCTCTCTCTCTCTCTCTCTCTCTCTCTCTCTCTCTCTCTCTCTCTCTCTCTCTCTCTCTCTCTCTCTCTCTCTCTCTCTCTCTCTCTCTCTCTCTCTCTCTCTCTCTCTCTCTTGAAATATTCTTAACAATTGTATAATCATCTAAACCAGTAGCAAACTTAAGATATTTAAGATTAATTTTTTCAATATTTACAGTATTTTCATAGCCAAATATTTCGCTCCCATATCGAAAATATCGAAAAGAATGATTACGGTATCAAGCGCCAATTTGAGGTGTGCGTTTCCACAGTAGTGCGACCATGGCCTTCTTAGAGCTGGGCAATACATCATTGATTGCCAAATTAAATCTCCTATTGCGGTGGATGTTCATGCCAAGATACTTCCATCTTTGTTTGCATCTCTCGCACACTTGTAGTTTTGCAAATACCTCCAGCCCTTCACCTCAAGCTTACATTGTCTGATAATGTCCGATACTCACCAGAAGTACCACAATTTGTGAATCAAGACGGGATAGTCACAGCAAACTCCGGAGCAACAGTATTCCCAGTCATGACAACTGAAGCGAGAACAGAAAACAATATACAAATTAATATAAGTTTCAAGTGGGGACTATCAAAATAAACGTACTCGTGTTGTTCTTGTAACACTTAAAGTAAACGTTAAAATGTCCTAATATATATTTAGTTACCCAAGCTGTTCATGAACATTACACTATTCAAATAAAAAAAGAAACGTATAAGCCACTTAAGGAGAATATATTGCGCTAGGTTAAGATCAATTATTCCATGTAATTTCAATGGTAAACTGGTGAAAATTCACACGTCTATAGACAGCGTTCGCCAACACAACAACAGCATTTATTGCTGCGTTTCTGTTTGCTTGCGTCCACAAGATGGCGTCAAAGTCAGTGCTTTGTATGGCCACCATTGGCAGCAATTACTGCTCGGCACCAAGCAAAAATGAATGACAAAATTAAACAAAACGTTTGCCATTTTATAGTGATCGATACCGCATGCTTTTCCGCTTACTTGCACTTGCATTTGCTTTGCATGTTTCCTTGGTGACGTTTTGGCGAATATTTCATCAAATGATTCTAAAGCAAGGAAAAGTTAAAATTGTGTTTTGGCACTGAAGCTGTTTACAATCACACAAAGATGACGTTTTGGAAAGAAATAGTATATTTGTATTGTTTTTGCCGCAGTTACATGAGTCCAATATTCTCAATATCACCTATGCGTTTCTTTTTTAGAAGAGTGTATGACATACACAATGTGTACCACATCCTCACTGACAGTAACACCAGATATCATCCTACAAGGGACGTGCATGCCTAGTAAGGGCAGGAGGCGATTGTCCGCACAGAGCGGCTGCCTGTTCAAAAGAACATCATTGAAACGAGCTGCAGATGACTCTCTCACAAGGCTTGAACAAGAACTGTCAATGCTCTCTTCCTGACGAATGGGACAATCCCCATCGGGCAAGCACAAAGACACTTGCTCTGAACGTGAGACAGCGGTGCACAGTTGTGAACCTATGACATACCTATTACTGGGAGTTTTCAAATATATTTATGTTTGCATCGTGTGGCCTCACAAATTATTGCTATTTGGCTATCTCCAAAGACGCACAAAATTACCTTCTGAAGTGGTGATCCTTATAACATTTATTGCATGTGTTCATGTAAACATCAGTGCATTTCCACATATATTGCTAATCCTCATCAATGTACTCTCACCCAGTATATAATATTGTTACATTCATACCTCCACGTTGGGCGTGTAAGGCATTCAACATAACGTTCAACAGATGTCCTATAAACCTGTGTGTGCACTTACTTGTAGGCGACGACTCTTGAGTGGCCGTAGTTGTAAGTGTGGTATGTACAGGCCTTGTTTCCACTCGTAAAGCAGATCTGAGATAGATAGATGAATAGACAGATACAAGCATATACACATACACATGCGTACATATAGATGTGATACACGCACGCGGGGTAGTTGAAAAGTTCTGAGTCGAACTGTTATGGACGGCGCATGTGAAATAACGATACTGAAAAACCGGCATCCTACTGGTTTTGTAGGCGTATTGGTGATAGTATAAATAGGCATCCACAGCAGAATTTATCATCGTTTGCATAATGCTTGACATATTGCTCTTTCGTCATGTGTGGGAAATGTTGGAGATTTGATGCCACATTTGGTTCAAAGCCAAGCTTATGCACTGCATCAGCAGAATGTGACAACGCGCCTTCGGTGAGTTTTCTAAGACGCATATTTTCATGAACTTGACAAAGCGGATTAGTCTAATATTGATCATTAATGGTCAGACCTTTCGAGAGGTAGACCCCTAAAGGATCCTCTGAAATCCCAAGTACGCGAGGCTATCACCTTGGACGTTACATGTTTCAAATACTTTGGTGTTTTGCCTATGGCCTGCAGTGATGAAGTAAACACCCATCCCTAGTCACAAATCGCATTTTACGGTAAGATATGTCTGCATCAAAACATCGAGAAATGAAAAAATGACGAGTCTGGATCGAGTTCAGGACTGTTGGATCCCAGCGTACTGAGAATTTTGTCATGCCAATTCATCCCTCAGGATTTTCTCAGCTTTCCCATTAGAGATAGGCATTGAATGTAAGCTACTGAATGCATAACAGATTTATGGCTGTAGTAAAGATTCAGCTAACCCTCATGTAAGTCTAAATAATTTGCCTTCGTCTTCAGTTTGTTGAAGGATAATCCAGACAATATTTCTTTCTTCTTTGATTGGCATTCTAGAAGTTGAGGAGATGAAGAATGAGGACAATATTTTTTATGGATATACAACTTCTTTATTCTGCAAAGGCGACGTTTGACATAGATTCTAATGTCGTTGTCAAGCAAGTGGTGACAATCTGCTCGATAACGATATTAGAATCTATGTCGAAACGTCGCCTATGCAGAATAAAGAAGTTGTATATCCATAAAAAACAACATTGTCCTCATTCATAATATTTGTTTCTAATCGATATTGTATTTATACAGCTTGATAAACCTCAAATAATGCATGGATATAACAGACACACTGACGTAGGTACATTACTCACATAAACTATAAAACCCTTGATTCAAAACAAACCCACTGACAGGAGATGAGCCATATTCAGGCCCAGAACCATCGACAACAACAAAAAAATGTAAAAACGGGTACAAATCATGTACGAAGCATCAAAAGCTCTACATATACGTGAAAAACCGACAGGGGAATAAATCGCAATAAAACCATGACCTCCTATGTAGAGAACCACTGTTAGGAGAGAAAGCAGATACAGGGCTAGTGCCAATCCGTAACAACAGAAACATAAATATGGGTGCAAATGATATACGAAGCATCAAACGCTCTAAACTTAAAAGAAACACTGGCAAAGGGACACGTCATAATTATATAAATCATGAAATTCGTCACACTAAACAGAAACACTGACAGAGGGGAAAATCATATGGTGTTCTGTTTTGTAAATCTTGGATTTTGAGATGTTCTGTTTTGTAAATCTTGGATTTTGAGATATATAATATATACCTCAAAATCCAAGATTTACAAAACAGAACACTGACACAGGGATAAAGTATATACTATTATAAATCATGAAAAACCTTCACACTAAACAGAAAGACTGACAGAGAGGAGAATCCTATATATATTGACCTCAAAATCCAAGATTTACAAAACAGAAACCAGTGACACGGGAATAAATTATATATAAATCATGAAATATTGCATAATAATTAAAAACACTGACAAAGGGATGAACCATATATAAACACTAAATCATACCTACAAACAAGAACCACTGACGGGTATTAATCTTGTGTAAACATGATATCATACATACAAACAAGAACCGCTGACAGGTATTAATCTTGTGTAAACATATCATACATACAAACAAGAACCGCTGACGGGTATTAATTTTGTGTAAACATATCATACATACAAACAAGAACCGCTGACGGGTATTAATTTTGTGTAAACATATCATACACACAAACAAGAACTGCTGACGGGTATTAATTTTGTGTAAACATATCATACATACAAACAAGAACCGCTGACGGGTATTAATTTTGTGTAAACATATCATACATACAAACAAGAACCGCTGACGGGTATTAATTTTGTGTAAACATATCATACATACAAACAAGAACTGCTGACGGGTATTAATTTTGTGTAAACATATCATACATACAAACAAGAACTGCTGACGGGTATTAATTTTGTGTAAACATATCATACATACAAACAAGAACCGGCTGACGGGTATTAATTTTGTGTAAACATATCATACATACAAACAAGAACCGCTGACGGGTATTAATTTTGTGTAAACATATCATACATACAAACAAGAACCGCTGACAGGTATTAATTTTGTGTAAACATATCATACATACAAACAAGAACCGCTGACGGGTATTAATTTTGTGTAAACATATCATACATACAAACAAGAACTGCTGACGGGTATTAATTTTGTGTAAACATATCATACATACAAACAAGAACCGCTGACGGGTATTAATTTTGTGTAAACATATCATACATACAAACAAGAACCGCTGACGGGTATTAATTTTGTGTAAACATGAAATACATACAAAAGAGCAACACTGTCAGAGTGAAATTCTACATAGAACACAGAACCATTTTCAGAGAGATAAATCATATATAAACCATGAGACCCTGTATACAAGCCAGAAACATAGACAGAGGGGTAAATCATACATAAGCCATGAGACCCTGTATACAAGCCAGAAACACAGACAGAGGGGTCAATCATACATAAACCATGAGACCCTGTATACAAGCCAGAAACACAGACAGAGGGGTCAATCATATATAAACCATGAGACCCTGCATACAAGCCAGAAACACAGACAAAGGGGTAAATCATACATAAATCATGAGACCCTGTATACAAGCCAGAAACACAGACAGAGGGGTCAATCATATATAAACCATGAGACCCTGCATACAAGCCAGAAACACAGACAAAGGGGTAAATCATACATAAATCATGAGACCCTGTATACAAGCCAGAAACACAGACAGAGGGGTCAATCATACATAAACCATGAGACCCTGTATACAAGCCAGAAACACAGACAGAGGGATAAATCATATATAACCCATGAGACCCTGCATACAAGCCAGAAACACAGAGGATAAATCATATATAAACCATTAGACCCTGCATGAAAGCCAGAAACAAAGACAGAGGGATAAATCATATATAAACCATGAGACCCTGCATACACGCCACAAACATTCACAGATGGATAACTCATATATAAACCATGAGACACTGCATACAAGCCAGAAACATTCACAGAGGGAGAAATCATATATAAACCACAAGACACTGCACACAAGCCAGAAACATAGACAGAGGGATAAATCATACATAAACCATGAGACCCTGCATACAAGCCAGAAACACTGACAGGGGGATAAATCATACATAAACCATGAGACCCTGCATACAAGCCAGAAACACTGACAGAGGGGTAAATCATACATAAACCATGAGACCCTGCATACAAGCCAGAAACACAGACAGAGGGATAAATCATATATAAACCATGAGACCCTCCATGAAAGCCAGAAACATTCACAGAGGGATAAATCATATATAAACCATCCATAAGACCCTGCATGCAAGCCATAAATTCTGACAGAGGGATAAATCATACATAAATTATGAGACACTGCATACAAGACAGAAATATTGACAGAGGGATAAATCATATATAAACCATGAGACCATGCTTACAAGCCAAAAACATTCACAGAGGGATAAGTCATATAAAAAATCACGAGGGGTAAATCATACATAAGCCATGAGACCCTGTATACAATCCAGAAACACAGACAGAGGGGTCAATCATTCATAAACCATGAGACCCTGTATACAAGCCAGAAACACAGACAGAGGGGTCAATCATATATAAACCATGAGACCCTGCATACAAGCCAGAAACACAGACAAAGGGGTAAATCATACATAAATCATGAGACCCTGTATACAAGCCAGAAACACAGACAGAGGGGTCAATCATATATAAACCATGAGACCCTGCATACAAGCCAGAAACACAGACAAAGGGGTAAATCATACATAAACCATGAGACCCTGTATACAAGCCAGAAACACAGACAGAGGGATAAATCATATATAACCCATGAGACCCTGCATACAAGCCAGAAACACAGAGGGATAAATCATATATAAACCATGAGACCCTGCATGAAAGCAAGAAACATTCACAGATGGATAAATCATATATAAACCATTAGACCCTGCATACACGCCAGAAACATTCACAGATGGATAACTCATATATAAACCATGAGACACTGCATACAAGCCAGAAACATTCACAGAGGGAGAAATCATATATAAACCACAAGACACTGCACACAAGCCAGAAACATAGACAGAGGGATAAATCATACATAAACCATGAGACCCTGCATACAAGCCAGATACACTGACAGGGGGATAAATCATACATAAACCATGAGACCCTGCATACAAGCCAGAAACACTGACAGAGGGGTAAATCATACATAAACCATGAGACCCTGCATACAAGCCAGAAACACAGACAGAGGGATAAATCATATATAAACCATGAGACCCTCCATGGAAGCCAGAAACATTCACAGAGGGATAAATCATATATAAACCATGAGACCCTGCATGCAAGCCATAAATTCTGACAGAGGGATAAATCATACATAAATTATGAGACACTGCATACAAGACAGAAATATTCACAGAGGGATAAATCATATATAAACCATGAGACCATGCTTACAAGCCAAAAACATTCACAGAGGGATAAGTCATATAAAAAATCACGAGGGGTAAATCATACATAAGCCATGAGACCCTGTATACAAGCCAGAAACACAGACAGAGGGGTCAATCATTCATAAACCATGAGACCCTGTATACAAGCCAGAAACACAGACAGAGGGGTCAATCATATATAAACCATGAGACCCTGCATACAAGCCAGAAACACAGACGAAAGGGGTAAATCATACATAAATCATGAGACCCTGTATACAAGCCAGAAACACAGACAGAGGGGTCAATCATACATAAACCATGAGACCCTGTATACAAGCCAGAAACACAGACAGAGGGATAAATCATATATAACCCATGAGACCCTGCATACAAGCCAGAAACAAAGACAGAGGGATAAATCATATATAAACCATGAGACCCTGCATACACGCCAGAAACATTCACAGATGGATAACTCATATATAAACCATGAGACACTGCATACAAGCCAGAAACATTCACAGAGGGAGAAATCATATATAAACCACAAGACACTGCACACAAGCCAGAAACATAGACAGAGGGATAAATCATACATAAACCATGATACACTGCATACAAGCCAGAAACACTGACAGGGGGATAAATCATACATAAACCATGAGACCCTGCATACAAGCCAGAAACACTGACAGCGGGGTAAATCATACATAAACCATGAGACCCTGCATACAAGCCAGAAACACAGACAGAGGGATAAATCATACATAAACCATGAGACCCTCCATGGAAGCCAGAAACATTCACAGAGGGATAAATCATATATAAACCATGAGACCCTGCATGCAAGCCATAAATTCTGACAGAGGGATAAATCATACATAAATTATGAGACACTGCATACAAGACAGAAATATTCACAGAGGGATAAATCATATATATACCATGAGACCATGCCTACAAGCCAAAAACATTCACAGAGGGATAAGTCATATAAAAAATCACGAGATCCTGCGTACAAACCAGAAACACTGATAAATATACAAAATCATAAACAAAATATGAAAAGCTTTGTCACTTTCTGAAATATCGACATCGGACAAACCACGTACAAGACCCTGATATATTTCACAGAAAAACAGAAACACATATAACAAAACCACCCTATATTTAAACATTGAAATCCCACATGAACAACTAAAGCATTGACATGGTGATCAACCCTATATACACCGTGAAACCTCAACACGAAACAGAAAGATTGACAGTTGGATAAATTGTCTATATTCATGTACGCTTCAACACAGACAAAATGGTAACAACGTTAATTAGCTATGTTTACTCCAACCTAAATACATAAGTGAAATGAAACGTCACCACCATAGATGAATTCGTCTCGATTGTGTGTTGAAACGTAAAGACAAAGTATTGAGGGAAATTATGCGAAATGACCATTGCAAAGGCCTCTATTCCACATGGACCTGAATCTTCAATAACAGAGCTCCAAAGCGGTAATATATGGTTTTGCTTTCTGAGTAAGTCTGAAGAATGTGTGCTTTAGGAAGCCAAAGCCAAAGATGTCACATACATTGTCCGCGATAGTGGAATGGTAAAAACATCAACGACGCCTAAACCCTCTCATCCTCACCTGCCACGCAGCGAGGACGACAACACTGCTGCGATACCACCCGGTCATAGTCCTGCCTGTACGATCAACCTGGCGCCATTAACAACTCATACCTTCTTCAACATCACAGAGCACGTGATCGCGCCTAACTCCGTTACCATGGTTTTCAAGCTCTGTGATCGATACCCACAATATAGCATGCAGCGTTTCCTGGAAGTCGGGGTAGCGATAGGACACCCACAGTCCATCTATATACTGGAATAAAGGGTTGCCATGGAAACGGAATAATTCATCGTGTCTTCTGGATGATGAAGCTAATTATCAATACATGTAACAGCAGGTGATCAGGTGGCATTATATCATTGTGTTTGCCGTCACAAAAATCATTGAATTTTTTATTTCTTATGTTGTGTTTCATGGCCAGTGACCGATTTACGATAACCTAAGCACTCAACACCATATATACTCAACAACAAAAGTTCCTGTAACGTACGATAAGTGATATTGAATTTGTCTTCACATTTTTTTCCGACTCATTACAGGTAAACATGTACTTGACAAGGGAAATATTGTATGGGAAATTTCACATCTGTTGCCATTTATCAGTCTTTTACGCTGGATATCAGTCTCAAATATTCTCAAATACAAAAGTTCCTGTAGCATAATAATAGTGATGTTGAACTAGTCATCACCTACTTATCTGATCTATAACGGGTACGTTGAAAGAGTAGGAGGTGTACAGGAAATCACAAACCCATTGCCATATGCTAAGCTGTTGTTCAATTACAATGTATTACGGCAAATGGAAATATGAAAACCTCGGTGATGCGCATCATCATAAGGGCATTTCCTTATAGCAATTATTGTAATAAGCCTGTAATATGTTCAATAGCTGAAAGGTTAGTGTTTGACGAAAAATTCTTCAGATTATTTATCCGCTAAAATAGAAGCTCTTTTAAATTCTAATGATTCTTGTCCCTGGTACGAATAGAAGGACATCCACCAGTGCTTGTCTAAATAGGTTTTTAACGGATCAGGAGATCAGATCCGTTGTTGGCGTAACTAAAATCGCATGAATCGATGCTCATGATATCAATCATTCGAATGTTGGTCCAGATTCGATTATTCACAGACAGGCGTCATATAAATGAAATATTGCCGACTTTCGTGTAAAAAAAGCAAATATAACGAACAAAATACACACATATGTTGATTTCGCATTCGATCATTATATACTCCTTACAAACGCATTAAAGTTTTGTCCTGTTCCATGACAATATTCGGCAAAATTAAAAGATCGTCACAGTTGGTTGAGTATCTGGGTTAGAATTGGTCTTCAACAACCCATGCCTGTTGTACATGGCGACTAACGGGATCGAGTGGTCAGGTTCACTGACTTGGTTGACACAGTCATGTCATCGGTTTCCATTTGCGTAGATCGGTTCTCATGTTGTTGATCACTGGATTGTCTGGTTCAGACTCGAATATTTACAGATCACCACCGTATAGCTGGACTATTGCTGAGTGCAAAGAAACAAACAAACAAACACGGATGGTTGTTGTTTGTGGGCTATGAGGCAGTTGGAATCCACATGTTGGAGGAACTTAACATCACTCTGGTGGTGAGATGGTGCAAAGATATGAAAAACTGGTTTTGATCTCCTATTTTGTTTCTGGCAAGTGTAGAACCAGATGTAATTCAAGTGATTTAAAGAGATATTATGAAATATATTTTGTTCTTCACATATGTGATAAGTCTGTTAGGAGCTTTTATATTTTACAGCTTTAAATTAAGACAAAACTGGATTGAAAACAATTGTAAATGATTTAAATGTATCATGTAAGCATATTTAAATGTTGTTGGTAAATCAATCAAATATTGTCACATGCCATAATTCATATAATGAGGTACTCTGTCAAGTATATTAAAGGACTATGTATGTGAATTATGGGCCGGATGGCCTACATTTCTGAAATAAAATCAATCAAAGTGTGTTTGGTTAAACTACAAATGAAGCACAAATAAGTGTAAATGAATTTAGCGCAACTGCGAAGAAAGCACGACATGTTCCTTTTGATAGTGTTGTGCGTTCATATGCGTGAGTGAGTGTGAGTTTAGTATTACGCCGCACTCAGCAACATTCCAGTTATGTGGTGGCGGTCTGTAAATAATCGAGTCTGGACAAGAACATCCGGTGATCAACAGCATCGATCTACAAAGTTGGGATGCAATGACATTTGTCAGCGAGCCTGAATACCCACTGACCACTGTAATGCATGAGTGGGTGAATGTGCCTGTATTTCAAACGTTGATTCAGAACTGTACGTTGAGCCATTTACAAATTTTATATTCACATGGTGGACGAAGTCAGCGAGCCTAACCACCCGATCCCGTCAGTCGCCTCTTACGACAGGCATGGGTTGCTGAAGACCAATTCTAACCCGGATCTTCACGAGTTACGTTCATATGAATGAAAGATATCACGGGTAGATGTAACCACCGAGGCTAAAAATTCCGTTTTTTAGCCTACAAATGTTGATTAGCGTTCTTTTGGTTCATGCGGACAAACTGGACCAATTGCTATTTAGAGTTGACTCCCATTGAGACTTCAGAATCCTCTGATTGTGGATTCAAATTCCCGCTTATGTTATTCAGCACCATGCACGGACTCGTGGGTGTCCAAACAGTGATAAACGTACGAAACCTGTATCACTTGGGTCGTATCTCCTAGTTACGCCGTGATGTAGCTTGCATACTTTTCAAACCAGGCTCATTTAGGTGTGACCAATTAGCTATGTTGACTGTAGAAGAAGAAGGACAACAGAAGGAAGCGTTAGACTGTGTAAAATCATGTGCGTGTGAAGAAAGATAACTCCTGTCAGCTTATCGGTAGTAGGTCTGATTCGAATTCAGCGTGAATGTTATCCCACTGGAATGGTTGGTTGGTTTGTTGTTTAACGCAGCACTCAGCAGTGATGTATTACAGCTATATGGCGGCGGTCTGTAAATAATCGAGTCTGGACCAGTCAATCCGGTGATCAACATCATGAGAGAAGATCTACGCAACTGCGATACGATAATAAGTGTCAACCAAGCCAGCGAGCCTGACCACCCGATCCCGTTAGTCGCCTCTTACGACAAGCATGAGTTACTGAAGATCAATTCTAACTCGGATTTTCATGCATCTTATCGTAAGAGGTAAATGTGCAATACAGACGGGTTTAAATGTGTTTTTGTTGTGGAGATTTCGTGATACACTTAGAATTTAAATGTGTGACATTTTACGAGTACTGTCGGGAATATAGTCAGACTAACAGTATCTTTATTATGGCGATACTGTGGTACACGGTCGGGTTAACAGTATCTTCATCACATGTTGAGTGTCTCTTTATTATGGCGCTACTGTGGTACACGGTCGGGTCAACAGTATCTTTATCACATAAAGCGTGTCTCTTTATCATGGCGCTTCTGTGGTACACGGTCGGGTCAACAGTATCTTTATCACGTGTTGAATGTATCTTTATCATGGCGCTTCTGTGGTACACGGTCAGGTTAACAGTATCTTTATCACGTGTTGAATGTGTCTTTATAATGACGCTACTGTGGTATACGGTCGGGCTAACAGTATCTTTATCACATGTTGAGTGTCTCTTTATCGTGGCGCTACTGTGGTACACGGTTGGGTTAACAGTATCTTTATCACGTATTGAATGTCTCTTTATCGTGGCGCTACTGTGGTACACGGTCGGGCTAACAGTATCTTTATCACATGTTGAATGTATCTGTATCGTGGCGTTACTGTGGTACACGGTTGGGTTAACAGTATCTTTATCACGTATTGAATGTCTCTTTATCGTGGCGCTACTGTGGTACACGGTCGGGTTAACAGTATCTTCATCAAATGTTGAGTGTCTCTTTATTATGGCGCTACTGTGGTACACGGTCGGGTTAACAGTATCTTTATCACATGTTGAGTGTCTCTTTATTATGGCGCTACTGTGGTACACGGTCGGGTTAACAGTATCTTCATCACATGTTGAGTGTCTCTTTATTATGGCGATACTGTGGTACACGGTCGGGTTAACAGTATCTTCATCAAATGTTGAGTGTCTCTTTATTATGGCGCTACTGTGGTACACGGTCGGGTTAACAGTATCTTTATCACATGTTGAGTGTCTCTTTATCATGGGGCTACTGTGGTACACGGTCGGGTTAACAGTATCTTTATCACATGTTGAGTGTCTCTTTATCATGGCGCTACTGTGGTACACGGTCGGGTTAACAGTATCTTTATCACATGTTGAGTGTCTCTTTATCATGGCGCTACTGTGGTACACGGTCGGGTTAACAGTATCTGTATCACATGTTGAGTGTCTCTTTATCATGGCGCTTCTGTGGTACACGGTCAGGTTTACAGTATCTTTATCACGTGTTGAATTGATCTTTATCATGACGCTACTGTAGTACACGGTCGGGTTTACAGTATCTTTATCACATAATGCGTGTCTCTTTATCATGGCGATACTGTGGTACACGGTCGGGTCAACAGTATCTTTATCACGTGTTGAATGGATCTTTATCGTGGCGCTACTGTTGTACACGGTCGGGTGAACAGTATCTTTATGACGTGTTGAATGTCTCTTTATCATGGCACTACTGTGGTAAACGATCTGGTTAACCATACCTTTATCACATGTTGATTGTCTCTTTATCATGGCGCTACTGTGGTACACGGTCAGGTTTACAGTATCTTTATCACTTGTTGAATGTCTCTTTATAATGACGCTACTGTCGTACATGGTCGGGTTAACAGTATCTTTATCACATGTTGAATGTATCTTTATCGTGGCGCTACATTGGTACACGGTCGGGTTAACAGTATCTTCATCACATGTTGAGTGTCTCTTTATTATGGCGCTACTGTCGTACACGGTCGGGTTAACAGTATCTTCATCACATGTTGAGTGTCTCTTTATTATGGGGCTACTGTGGTACACGGTCGCGTTAACAGTATCTTCATCACATGTTGAGTGTCTCTTTATTATGGGGCTACTGTGGTACACGGTCGCGTTAACAGTATCTTCATCACATGTTGAGTGTCTCTTTATTATGGCGCTACTGTGGTACACGGTCGGGTTAACAGTATCTTCATCACATGTTGAGTGTCTCTTTATTATGGCGATACTGTGGTACACGGTTGGGTGAAATGTATCTTTATCACATGTTGAGTGTCTC